GGGCTCGAACTTGTGAACTGTGAGACCATGACCTGAGCCAAAATCAAGAGTTGAACACTTAACCAACTGGGCCACCCAGGTGTCCCTATTAACTTTTTTATTTTTTTTTATTTTTTATTTTTTTTTAATTTTTTTTTTTATTAACGTTTTTTATTTATTTTTGAGACAGAGAGACAGAGCGTGAACGGGGGAGGGGCAGAGAGAGAGGGAGACACAGAATCGGAAACAGGCTCCAGGCTCCGAGCCATCAGCCCAGAGCCCGACGCGGGGCTCGAACTCATGGACCGCGAGATCGTGACCTGAGCCGAAGTCGGCCGCCCAACCGACTGAGCCACCCAGGCGCCCCCCTATTAACTTTTTTAAATGTGGCTATTACAAAGTTTAAAATTACAGACAAGCTTCCATTTGTGGCTCACATTATATTTCTGTTCAAGTGCTGATCTAGACCTAGACAACAATGGAGCATATATTCACAATTTGGAGAGAAATGTGTGTCTTACCTAGAAGGTTATAATCAAACTATCCATTGAGAAAGACAAAGTACATTTTCAGACAAGATCTCGAAGGAATTTTCCCTATCTTTGGACTCTTTCTCAAGATGACCATGAAAGACAGACTTCATCGAAACAGGGAATAACAAAAAATGGGAAATCACTGAACCCAGAAAAGACAAAGGAAATTCCCAACATAATGATAAAGGAGGTTCCTGGACAGTTGTGCAGCAGGTCCTAGACCAGCTTAGACCACCAGACCAGCGTGGAGGAAGAGGCCAAAGGTTTCAGGAGGGAGATCTCCAACAAGGAAACAAAGCCAATAGAATAGCTCATGCGGTTGAATATATGCAGAAATGTCCAGTCCTGTAGGAGAGTCTAGGAATTAATGAGACAGATAGAAAACTAAACAAATGGCAAAATAAGATAGTTAATTCCAGAAAAACAAAATTTATCAAGAGAGGAAATGTAATCACTTCACACCATGCGACTCAGTTATGAATAGTTACATGATCATAATGTAAATACAGAGCAATGATTTAACCAAAAAGGTTCAAATGGAGGGCTCGGAGAAAGGAAGGGCCCACGTGGGTGCTGTAGGAACAGGGATGAGAGAGATCAGTTGTAAAAGCTAAATCTTCTTCTATGGTAAGAAATGTAAAAATAACACCTAAAAGTATGCATACACTAAATCTCTGCATCTCCCCCCCCCCCCCCCCCCCCCACCCCATATACAGACAGATGTATAAAGTAAGCATGAGATCTAGAAAGAGAAGAAAGTACCGGACTAAACAATCAAAGTAACTCTAGTTACCTTGAGAATGGGAATCAGGAATAAGGATGGGGCGGCAAACTGCAGTTTCCCATTACAAGCCTTACAACATTGGGGCGCCCCAGTGGCTTAGTCGGTTAAGCGTCTGACTTGGGCTCACCGCACGATCCCACTGTTTGTGGGTTTGAGCCCCACGTCGTGCTGTGCACTGACAGCTCAGAGCCTGGAGCCTGCTTCGGATTCTGGGTCTCCCTCTCTACCCCTCCCCTGTTTTCACCCTCTCTCTGTCTCTCCCAAAAATAAAAATAAATATTTAAAAAAAAAAAGCCTTACAGTATTATGCACTTTTTAGAATGGTGCATATAGCACTGTGATTAAAATTTGAAAAAAAGAAACCATCCCTATAAAAGCACAAAGAATGTCTATGAGTGCACTCCAATTACGATTTCTGGTTTTATACTCATAATTGACCTAAAGTAAACTAATACCTTTATTTAACCGAAAGAAGATGGGACGGGGTTGCTCTATACTGCATATACGTTTTATTCTCCATAGGCTTACTAAGAGCATTTCATCTTCCAAAACCAGCTATCAATAAGTCACAGTACCTTCCCACTAGGTTTTGTGCCCCTCTGTGAAGACCAAATTATACCACAGATCAAACTCTGATCATTTTCAGTGATTCTTTTCAAATACTATATCAAATAATATTGATTCTATGTTTCATTTCAAATGAATCATTTAAACCTACAGGTCATAATGCTGATTCCACTTTGGATCAAGTGTATTCTTCACAGTATCTGTAGAATGGCATTGCCCAGATCCATCAACCACCACCTTAGCAAATGGATCAGGAAGTCCTGTGGAAAAAGGGGAAGAATTTTTTTTTAATTAAAGAATAATGTGACGTGGAAAATAGAAGATTAATTGTATAAAACTTACTATTTGCTACAAAAGATTATCCCATTCTTTATAAAAAGTGTAACATTTAGCTATAAATGAAAAGTGGTCCATTTTGAACGAAGATTAAAGTTAATTCTACATTAAATACCAAAAGCTACGTTTTTCTTGTTGCTATCTCAAAACATTCTCAGCTTAAACTACCAAAGCCTAGAGGTTACCTCATAATAGGGAAGTGTTTATACATCTTTACCAGCCCTTTGACCCCAGGAAGCTTAAAACAGTTCTGGTTCTCTTAGGGCCTTCCCAAGGTCCTCCTTAGTAGCATTTTTAAAGAAAGAGCTTCTTACAGGTTTTCACACAAGAATATGGGCTACAGAGAAATCAAATTAGCCAAAAAGTTTTCCTGAATAACTACCATGAGTGATGAAAAACTGAATCAAAAAATTAAATACCCTGCCTTAAAATGTTAAGAATGCCTTGGGGGAGAGGGAAACCAGAGAATAAACAAATGTTTGTATAGATTCTAAAGAAAATACTTTTAACACTATGTCAGGCACTATTCTAAATGCTTTACATATATTAAATCTCTTATTCCTCACAATAATCCAATGGGGTAAATGTTACTATAGTCTCTACCCTACTGATGAGGAAACTGAGGCACAAAGGGGTTAATTAACTAATCCAAGGACAAACAATAGTACGTGAGAGAGCCAGGGTCTAACGTTTAGATTTTAAACCCATGCACATAAAATCTGGTTCTCAATTTCATGCTCCCAACTACTATACTATAGTATACCTCTCACGTACCATGCAGTTCAACAGTGAGTACAAGTAAGAGTTCAGAAAAACAGAACTGTTGGGGAGTTTGAACAGTAAATCAAGGCGCTTTTTTTTTTTTTTTTTTTTTTTTTTTTTTTTTTTTTTTTTTTTTTTTTTTTGAGGGGATGGGACTCATTGGGCTTTAAAGGACAAACAGGAAGATCACCAAGAAAGGTATGACCGCATCTGAAGGGTTGTGAGGAATCTAACCAAATCATTTGTGCTACAATGTTAAAAGTAAATGCTGTGGGTAAGAGAGGCTTAGAAATCAGAAAGTGACTGAGGTAGATAATAGGGTGTCATATTTTTCTATTAGCGGTATTCAGGGTGGACTGGGAGAAGGGAAGACTGGTACAGAGACTATCTAGGAAGCGGTCATAAGTTTCACACAGTAGGATAAACGAACAGTAAGATGAGCAGACTCTGAACTAGGCAAGTCACAGGAAAAGGGAAAGGACAGTGAAGTAATAAACTACTCTGAAAGATCTAATACAAGTTTATAAGAAACTAGGGTCAAAGATGATACTATAGTTTTCAGGCCTAAGTAACAATGAAAACAGTGGTTCTTTTGGAGAAAAAAAAAGTTAGAAGGTAGAACTAAATAAAGTTTTAATGAGACAAAAATGACATTTTGGGATAGCATAGATCTCCTATGGACAGTTGAAAATACTAGAACGGGGCGCCTGGGTGGCTCAATCGGTTAAGCGCCCAACTTCAGTTCCGGTCACGATCTCGCAGTTTGTGAGTTCGAGCCCTGTGTCGGACTCTGTGCTGACAGCTCAGAGCCTGGAGCCTGCTTAAGATTCTGTGTCTCTCCTTCTCTCCACCCCTCCCATGCTCATGCTCTGTTTCTCTGTCTCTCAATAATAAATAAACGTTAAAAAAAAATTTTTTTTAAACAAAGAAAATACTAGAACAAAATGTTGGTATGGGTTGATAATTGGAGAAATTCTGCACCTTGATATCTATGCTAATTTTTTTTTTTTTAAGTCAAGATACCAATGTGCCAAGATTCGAGGTCAGGCATAAATCACATCGTCAGTTCCCCAATCCTATGATTCTGTGATCTGTCAACTTCAAATAAGAGAGGACCAAATTTTAAGAGTGTTAAGTATTTAAGAAGATACTTGGAAGTTAGGGTATTGATGTATTTAACTATATTCTTGAAGTTTACTGCTATTCATATTATTTCAGTAATACCTACCATTTTTAAATATGTTTAATGGAAGAATATTTTTCCCACTACCTTCAATAACATTAAGTATTTTCAAGAATCTATTCTTTTTCTTTTGATTCTACTATCTCAGCAAACATACAAATGTATGTTTGTAAGCAAAAACAAAAATCACATTTCAAGCTTTCCTTTTAGGATGTTGTTTAAAGAATTAAGGACTACGGGGAACAACTTTTCCACACAAATACACTAGGCATGGTTTCCAAGTCCTTAATTAACTATGAAATTCTGAGTCCCAACCTCCTATGTTTCTTTTCTGTTAAATAATACAAAACACAAGCTCTATGCCCTAACAAAAAAAAGTACCTATATTTCAACTTACCTGTTTCTATTAGTCCACAAAAATTTACCTTGAGAGCCAAGTTACTGTGATGTGATCAAAAGCTATCAAGTTTTCTGAAGTTAGTGAGGCTTCTAGTGGTAAATATCAAGTGGCTAAGGTATTTTCTGTATTTTTAAAAATTTCTCAATCATCCCCATCATTTCTGAGTCATACAAAAATAGCTAAAGCTGAAGACTTCCTCGCTATACAAATGCACTTGAGCTGCAAATAACAATGAAACAAAAATTTCAACTTAAAAGTGTGTTACTTTCTGGAGAAAATAAAGCTTTATTTTTGATTGGGGGAAGAAAAAGAACATTCACCAATCACCGTGGTTCTGAGTGACTTCAATTTGGCCCCTAAATATAGTGACTCAACACAGTATCTTACACATAAATCTTTTATTTAAATGTTACATAAAAGAGGGGCACCTGGGCGGCTCAGTCAGTTAAGCATCTGACTTCGGCTCAGGTCATGATTGCACAGTTCGTGAGTCTGAGCCCCACCTCAGACTCTGTGCCACCCGCTTCGGATCCTCTGTCCCCCACCCCTTTTTTGCCCCTCCCAACTTGTTCTCTTTCTCACTCTTTTTCAAAATAAATAAACTTAAATAAATGTTGCATAAAAGAGAAAAAAATTATACTAATGAAAACATTCTTTAAGAAACAGATAATGGATAAAGACAGATACAGGATCATGTTAATGGTAGAATCTAGATGGTGGATATTCACTATAAAACTTTTCCATGTTCTTATACGTTTAGAAAGTTTTCCTTCTAAAATTTTAGGGAGAGGGGGAAATAATTTATTTTTTAAAGCCAATAAGCTTGAAAACAATTCCAAAAAGTGAGTTAGCAAATTTTTTCTCAGGAAGGGTAGATACCCAGAATAAAGAGTATTATCTCTAATACACAAATTACAAGACAGCACTTGGCAGTGTATTTTTTCCTATAATTAAATATATACACACACGTATGTTTCATCAGCCTATAGTCATGCTTGATATTAAAGTTTACTTTTCTCATTCAACATGATTTAAACTGCATTACAAGCAAACACTACATTTTGATATCAATGATAACTGCATTCTGACAATAAACACACTCTCACTCAAATTTCATGAAGAGATTTAGGAAGTACTACAATTTTTTCTCTGGAATTAATGTGGGCAACCTTCAACTTATAAACAGATCAATGACAAACTTAAGTTTGTCAGCAGAGGCCATTCCCACTGTGAACCCAGGTGATAGCCCATCCCTGGCTGAGTGCCTTCTGAAGGCCTCAAGATTGGCTTTCCAATTTCCCTTTCCAGAGCCATCAAATGTTTCTTCCATTCTAGGTTTACAAGATAATCATATAGTTTCCCCTAATTTCCTTATCCCTAGAAGCAAACTCACAACTCTTAAGAAAACTTTTATCAATTTTTACTGCCTATGCTAACGAAAGAGAGAAAGAGTCCTTTCTTTCTTTTTTTCCCACCTACAACTTAAGGGCAGATAAAGATCGTATAACTGATATTAACTGGCTCTCCAAGGTTTACCAAAAATCAAAGTAAGATTCTTCTAGATTTCCTAGGAAAACTCACACAAGTAGATCTGGATATTATACTGGAGAAACTGTGTCTTAGGACTCTGGAGGAAAGAAAAGAACTTGGGAAGGAAGGCTGGGAGACAAAATGTTAGATTTTATCCGTAAAACCAAAGCAGACATCTTGGAGGATGCAGAAGGAGCTATAAAAGAGTGCATGCCTCACTTGTCTCCCTTTTCTCCTTGTCACCTACCTATCCAATCCTATTTGCCACTTCACAGTCCTACTAATCCTACCTCAAATCAACCTTAAGAATGGTAAAAAAAAAAAAAAAAAAAAAAAAAAAAAAAAAAAAAAGTATACACTGGTTATTAGTGACAGGGATGAATTAGGTAGTTCAGAAAAAGCCTGTGAAGACAGAATTTGGTGGCAGCGGAGAGAGGCCACTGGCCTCTCCTGCTGTGATACGCAGTACGGTAGACAGCACCTGGTACATATATTGGAGACTGCTTAAAACTTTCTTAACTATGTCCCACAGCATCCTATTTAACTGCTTTCCCATATAAGCACAGAAACCAGAAAAATTTCTAATTATACAGTTTTATGTTATTTTATAAGCTTTAATTCTGGTTCTACTCTAGATATCTTAGAAGAAAATTTCAAGTGAGATGAATGAAGCATGATTTTAAAATGCATCAAGAGCTTACTATTTCTTTTAATGAAACCCCTGAAAATTAAGTAATATCATATTAAATTAGCACTCATACCTAGTTTCTGGGGGCTGGTAGAACTTGAATTTTAAAATCTAATGAATCTTCTTGGGGCACCTGGGTGGCTCATTCGGTTAAGTGTCCGACACTTGATTTTGGCTCAGGTCATGATCTCAGGGTCATGGGATCACTCCACACTGAGTGTGGAGCCTGCTTAAGATTCTCTCTCTCTCTCTTTCTGCCCCTCTCTCCTGCTTGTGAGTGTGCACATGCTCTAAAATAAAAATTTTAAATAAAATAAAAAATGAAAATCTAATGAATCTTCTCAATTTATAACTTCAAATATATTACATATAAAACTTTGTTGGCTTCGAGTTCTTTACTAAAAATTATATCATTTTGACTCAATTATTTATATATATTTATTTTATTTTTTTTACTCAATACCTTAAAGCTATTGTGAAGTATGATATTACAGGGTAAAGATTTTAAACACACGTGAGGGGTTCTTCCCAATCCTCCTTCACAAAACTTAATCCTAAATAAAGCCACAAAAAAATTTGACAACTTATTGGCAAAGAGACTGCAAATAGGGGAACCAAATGTCTGCTTTAGAGGCCGAGACATAAGAGCATCTATGATTGAATGTGGCAGAGATTTCTTTCCTACACTCTGGAAATTCTAAGCAGGCTGAATAACTTCTCTACTTTCCAAGGTATGGTGAATGCCTGAATAAAATTTCCTATAAAATGTTAGAAAAGAAAAAGTGTTTACAAAATAATCTCCACCCTTTCTAGAAACCTAGTAGTATGCACACCCTCGATATTCTTTACACGTCTCATATACACACATATACACATATACATTTCACACAACTATGTGAGGGGGTGGATAAAAGGAAAGGAACAAAGGCTAAAAAGGCTTTGTTTTAAGGCTAAAAAGGCTTTGTTTTTTTAAGAGGACTTTGTCCTCTTAAAAAAAAAGTATTGCCAAAAGGGTCCAAACCAAAGCATTCATAAAATAGTATGAAGTATATTTCTGAATAGAGAAATCACTAAAGCCAGACAATTCTGAAAAAGTTATCCAAAAAGTCTACACACAACATACAAGATTTAAAGTTAATTTACTTACGGAAAAAATCCTTTTTCACCAAGTTTTTTGCACAGAGTACTGTAAAGGAAACAAAAAATACATGGAAAGAATTAAAATGGTAAGACCGCACTGTCAAAACGTTCATTTTAAAACACTGAAAGTACCAGTGAATGATAAACATTATAGCAAGGTTTGAAATATGATCACAAGCTTTTATTAAAGACTAGCAAAAGACAGCTGAACCAGTGGTTCCAACTTTAGCAATGATCACTCATAACAGCTGACAGCCAGAAAATTTATAAATCTGGTATTCTAATAAGGACCAACTTCCAATCAATCTTCCATCAAGATTTATCTCAGAGCAGCTCGGTGAAAAGGGGAAAATAGTTCCAAGAAAAAAATAAGCAAACTCAGGTTGACATATACATTTTTTAATGAAATAATTTTATACTGAAGATCATAAATAAAATAAAGCTTTCTTGATATAGATGAGATTTTTAAAAAAATAACATTGTTATTTAGTCTCCACCTAACTCCACAGAAATTTTATAGGAGAGATAAATTACCTTCTTCTAAATCATCACTCAATGACAAGACAGATTACTGTATCTACCAAAAATTAAAAGTTAATACACTGAGTAGATATCCCAAAGCCACATTCTCTGGATTACCCTGCATGAAATTATTACTCGTAAGGTGATGGATGCACAACGTTACGAATATATTAAAACCACTGAATTGGAGGTGCCTGGGTGGCTCCGGTTCAGGTGATCTCGTGGTCCATGGGTTCGAGCCCTGCGTCTGGCCCTGTGCTGACAGCTCAGAGCCTGGAGCCTGCTTCGGATTCTCTGTCTCTCTCTCTCTCTCTCTCTGCCCCTCCCTTGCTCGCACTCTGTGTTTCTCTCTCTCAAGATAATAAACATTAAAAAAAAATTTTTTTAAACCATTGAACTGCACATTCTAAAGGGGTGAATTTTATAGTTTGTGGTTACATGTCACTTTAAAAAAGTATTGCTTATATAGAGTTATAAACTTAACTTGTTTAATTCAAACTTGTTAAAAGTGAAGGGAAAACATCAATTTCTGTATGGTTTATAACTTATAAAATATCTATACATGTAATATTTGGTTAATTTCTACCCACTTCTACTCGGTTGAAATGGTCTGGAAGTTTAGTGTTATTTAACATAACAAACCTTGGGAATAAGTCTATATATAACTAATCACTCTAAAAGTTCAAATAAAGGGGAGCCTGGGTGGCTCAGTTCATTAAGCCTCCAACTCTTGATCTCGGCTCAGGTTATGATCTCATGGTTCATGGGCTCTGTGCTGACAGCACGGAGTCAGCTCGGGATTCTTTCTCCCTCGCTCTCTGCCCCTCCCCGGCTTGCATGTGCTCTCGTTCTCTCTCTCTCTCAAAATAAATAAACTTTTAAAAAAAAGTTAAATAAAAATTATTTTAAAGACAGATGCCAGGGACCTGGGTGGTTTAGTGGTTGGTTTAAGCATCCGACTTTTGATTCCAGCTCAGGTCATGATCTCATGGTTCATGAGTTCAAGCTCTGCATCTGGCTCTGCACTGTCAAGCAGAGCCTGCTTGAGATTCTCTCTCTCGGCCCCTCCCAATTGTCTCTCTCTCTCTCTCTCTCTCCCTCAAAATAAGTAACTTAAAAAAAAAAAAAAAGAGAGATGCCATTGGTAAATGAGTAAAATTATTACGTAAGTACAAGATAGTGATTTAGTAGTCAGAGTCATTTAGGCCCTGTCTTAGAAACAGTTTTATTTTTAAAAACATAAAAACTCAAATATGAAAACTAAGAGCCGTAACTGAGAGTACCAAATCACTAAATGGATTTAGAAGAACTTCTCTCTAACCTTCATTATCACCACATAAACCGTACAGAATACTCAGGATCAATACATTTACAACACATATATGAATCCAAATTCTAATCTTCAGTACTGCTGAGGTAATGACTTTTTTTAAAACCATCGTCCTATGATTCCAGAAGTGAACTGATTTCACATCCTACTTTAGAGAAACCAAAAATATATGCGAATTCTCCAACTTCTTATTGCTAACCCTACAAAGTTATGTTTTGATACTCATTCGTTCTGTCTTCCTTCTGCTTATAATATCCACCCTCCTGTCTCACACTGTCCTTCCCCCTGTGTTCTAGATCTTATATCCAAATCACCATTTTCTCAGGGACCTGTTCTCCCATCTCCTCTACTTATGGCCTCATCAACATTTAAACATACTCTCCAGACACCATCCTCCTTCTCCTTCAATGTAACTACTTAAGGGGCGCCCGGGTGGCTCAGTCAATTAAGCATCCAACTTTCACTCAGGTCATGATTTCGCAGGTTCATGAGTTCAAGCCCAGAATCAGGCTCTCTGCTGTCAGCTCAGAGCCTACTTTGGATCTTCTGTCTCCCTCTTTCTCTGCCCCTCCCCTGCTCACACGCATTCCCCACCTCCTCAAAAGTAAATAAACAGTAAAACAAAATTATAAAAACGCAACAGATTTCTGTATATTGATTTTGTATCCTACAACTTCACTGCATTCATTTATTAGTTCTACTAGTTTTTTGGTGAGTCTCTAGGGTTTTATATATATAGCTATCATGGTATCTACAAATAGTCAAAGTCAAGGTTTTACTTTTTCCTTACCAATTTGGATTCCTTTTATTTCTTTTTCTTGTCTGATTGCAGCAGCTAGGACTTCCAGTACTATTTTGAGTAGAAGTGGCAAAAGTGGACACCCTTGTCTTATTCCTGATCTTAGAGGAAAAGCTCTTAACTTCTCCCACCCCCGCCTCAGGACCAGACAGACCTAACAAATATACACAGAACATTCCATCCAAAAACAACAAAATACACATTCTTTTCAAGTGCACATGAAACTTTCTCCAGGATAGACCAGAGGTTAGGCCACAAAACAAGTCTCAATAAATTCAAAATGACTGAAATCATACGCATTTTTCCTACCACAGCAATAGACATCAATCACAAGAAATAATCTGGAAAGAACACAAACATAGGGAGGCTAAGTAACATGCTACTAAACGATGAATGGGTCAATCCAGAAATCAAAGAGGAAATAAAAAAATATATGGAGACAAATAAAAGTGAAAACACAATGGTCCAAAATCTTTGAGATGCAGCAAAAGCTGTTCTAAGAGGGAAGTTTATAGCAAAACAGGCTTACCTCAAGAAACAAGAAAAGTAAACAACCTAACTTTACATGTAAAGGAGCTACAAAAAGAAGAACAAAGCCCAAAGTCTGTAAAAAGGAAATAATAAAGTTTAAAGCAGAAATCAATGAAAAAGAGACTGAAAAAAACAATAGAAAAGATCAATGAAACCGGTAGCTGGTTCTTTGAAAAACAAAAACAAACAGTATTTTATTTTATCTGGATAAAACTTTAACCAGATTCATCAAGAAAGAGAGAGGACTCGGGGCACCTGGGTGGCTCAGTCGGTTAAGTGTCCGACTTC